TTACACCCTACCATATGTAGGTTTTGAGACAACTTTTAGGGTGTCAATATACAAGTATTCACAGAATTACACCTGGGTATCTCGAATTCCGAGGTGAACTTACTATATTAACTGGACTATATGTATCAATTGTAAGATGTGACAAGCGACACTGCAGTGTGTGTTACATTCGATACCAAGTTAACCTATACATAAAAAAGATGATTTCTGTATACATTATGCCTTCCGTGGAAAATGTGACCTATAGTAAACGAAAGTAAAGATGATGAAAAAAATGGTACTTACTTTGAAATATTTCAGAGTTGAGGTTTTAATGGTGAAATCAACAATGTGGCACAACTAAAGATTATTTTTATCATCAAATACAAATATGTGACTGTAACTTACGCAGTAGGCTACGGCCAACTCTAAAACTACGTTGGGTGGTTAGAGGTTGATACCAGTCTATGCATATAAGTATATTTTGATTTATTTCAAAAGATGGCGTCAGGGTGATATTATCTACAGTTGGAAATAGCCTCCGCAGATTCCCATCGATAGAATTCATGTAGAAAAGAAAATGGTACTGAAAAATTGGTTATTTTTTATGGATCAGCCATTATTCTTCTACAACCTGTAGTCAAGTAATGCAAAAATTGATAATCGGAAAGGGTATGAAAGGGTTGCTGGAATTCTATAGCATTGCATTGATTCGAAATATTTTTCTCGAAAATACCTTCAATTACTGACTTTTCATCATTTCCAGCCTGCATAATTTGAACAAACCATTCCACTTCCATAGTTCAACAATGAATAACTGTCTGGGACTGAGCTTGGACCTATTATATCCATTTAAAAAAATATCCATTTGTTAAGCAAGTTTCGCAAAAAAGAACAGATGGAAAACCAGAGAATGATTCGAAAATAAATAATTTGTTTATATTTGATTCCTTTATTCCAGGGTTGCCCTTTGTGAGTAAAGAAACTGCTGATTTTTTTCGTAAAATTTTTCGAGATAGCATGAATTACAGAGACGAAAGTGGAATATCGCGTCCAGATTTCTTGGAATTACTGATAAAATTGAAGAATCAATCTAGGAATACTCCTAAACCATTATCCGATGATTATTTGGTAAGTATATGTTCAACATAATTTTCAAAATAGTCAAGTAATCAATAGAAAAATATCATTTCATGCAATTGTGAACTGTTATATTCAATCAGATTGGGATTTCTGGGATATGTCTAATGAATATGATTGAAATAATTCATGGTAATCGTCAAATTCAGAATTTTTCAGATAATTTTATGAAAAATAATATAATCGAATAGTTCACGGTGTTTATTGATTTTCTTTGCCAATTGTTGATTCCTATAAATTATCCGTTTTTTGTTTCAGACGGCTCAAGTCTTCCTGTTTTTCATCGCTTCTCTTGACACGTCTTCTAGTGCCATTTCGTTTGCTTTGTATGAATTGGCGAACAATCCAGATATGCAGGAAAGAACCAGGGAAGAAATGATACAAGTATTCGAAAAACATAATGATCAAATAACATCGAATTGCTTGAAGGAAATGAAATACTTAAATCAAGTCATCAATGGTATGACCTCATATAAAGAAATGGTAGAAAAATACAGTATAAAACAGATATTTTATGAAAATTTATATTTGCATCCACAATCGCAAAACTTCTACATCAATTTTATCATCTGTATCTGTGATAATCAGTATTGATCTTATACTGATGCTAACGTAGAAGAAAAAAATTGACAGTATAAGTATTAATCCTCTTCTTAAGAAGTGGTATCTCTTTCTGAATTACATTTACATTGGGAAATGTTAAAATGTTTGAATTGTTTTCATATTTTGAAATTTTCTATTGCAAGATTAAGGTATCTTGTAGATTTCTGTCATATTTTGGTATTTTCTGTTTCTCACTCATTTATTGGATTTTCTGAACCAGCAAACATGCTATTTATATATTCACAAACAAAATAATTCTTTCAAAAATCAATCATTTCAAATAAGGTAATATAATATCAACAATAGGGCTTTCGAATTTAAATAATAATTGAGGTATGGAGGTCATTTTTTTGTGTAAATTATACATGATTTCCTAGTCTTCTGATATGTGTTTCTGAAGTTTCTGAACATGGATGCATTTATACTTCTTCCAATGAAACGAGGATCTAACGACAACCAATTTAATGTATCACCAATCTTTAGAATAATGCAATGTAGGGAAAGGAAGGTCTCTTGTTATTGCGAAGGATATTTTCATGCTTCCATGCATAACTTTGATATCATATCTTGCTGGCCGTTTTTATTGGTGTATCGCCAACTTTGTTCAGAATGATTCTCTTCGATAATTCAACAATCAACACTAGTGTTTCCCTGGGATCTGTAGTATTTCCAACTTTTTTTCTGTTTGATATCAAGGAAACATTAGAAGGTATAAGGAATTCAATATGTCATTGCACTCGTCTATTAAATCGAATACAGTAGGAAGCCGTCATGGATTGATGATCAATGATTACATCCCGGTAGCATTACGTTAATATATTGACAGAAATTAAAAAATGTCTGTCACCTTGAAAACTTGTTTATGCCGTTTGCAGAAAAAAAAGGGTTGTCATAAAATCCACCATAGAATATTCATATTGTTGATACAGAATGAAATAAAGATTAACAAATCAAAAGGTAACCATAATACAAACAGATAACTTTTCCTTTGAAGGTGGTTGACAATGTTTCGTGGTGTATTTTATCAGTTCGGACTTCCATTGTCTAATATAATATAAATTGATTATTTGTAATTCTCTGTAATTTCAGTTTTTTGTTTAGTAAAATTGTTATTTTCGGTTAATCTTTTTGATTTTTTATCAGGGTTATCAAATCAATTTATAATATATTAGACAATGGAAGTCCGAACTGATGAAATAGATAACTTTTCGTTATCGTTGACCAAATGTATATTCGAGTAACAAAACTACGAAGCACCTTTTGGTAAAAACATCTCTCTGTTATAATGATATTTACACTCACTAATTTCCCATCACTACCGTCATGAATGCCTTATAAAAATATACATTTTGTAGTGTCTTGGGAGACTACGTTCTGAATTTGATTCACTTGTTTAAAACTAGATGAATGACAAACATGACACACAAAATTTGAAAAAAATAAGCTGCGTATATGTTTCAAATTCGAATAGTATTCGAATAATATTTGTATGGAATTCCAAACTCATTTTTCATAATAGAATACTCATCTACTTGCAAATAATAAGAACAGATGCGTCTCAGCTAGGGATGTCAAATTGTGATTTCCATTCATGAAAATAAATATTTGTGAATTTTATATTTTTGGACATGTCGGCAAGTGAAAAAATAATCATCCAGTTGGAAGCTGTGCAATTTGTAGGATATTTGGCATAACAAAGACCTGTGAAATGAATATTTACAGTAATACATTCATAAACAAATATTTTCATTTGAATTCCAGAAACTCTTAGACTATATCCATCTGTAACCAATTTGGAGAGGAGGTGTGTGAGAAATTACAAAATAGCTGGTACAGAGTTGATCGTGGAGAGAGGTGTATATATAACCATTCCTCTTTATGGTATACACAGAGATCCTGATTTTTATCAAGATCCAGAAAGATTTGATCCAGATAAATTCAACGAGAGGAATAAAAAGTATATAAAATCACAGACATATTTTCCATTTGGTCTCGGTCCGAGGAATTGTGTAGGTGAGCAATTGAATATTTTTTTTTTGGAAGGCGTTGTCCACACTTCATATAAAAACCCAAGCAAAACAAGTAACAAAAAGTCGATTTCTGAACATCAACTTCATGTTTGTTGCAATAATATTCAACAAAATTTGAAAACTAGGTATAACGTGTATATGAAAACCTATGAAACAAACTATGAAATTGATTTTTTAAATCATTTTGAGGAGAATATAAACAGGTATATACCATAACATACAGACATATAGAAACAAACGCGAATGGTCATGGAAAAACGAATTTTCGATTTGAAAGTTTTTCTTATTGAATGTTTTTGAATGAAAATGTCTTTCCAAGAAAGGGCTACTTGCATTTCTCGCTAGTCTAGCTCAAATTCCAATGGAACCCGTTTATTTATCATCATAAGGATGCACGTTCACTTGCTTCTTCAAAAAAAAATCTTATTTAAAATTCAACAAATTATCCGTCACAGTGACAGTTGAGTCACAAGTCGGCTGCGTGAGTTCACAAAGTGGTGTTGTCGAATATTTTACAATCACATCAAATCCAATACAGAGAAAAAGTGGGATTTATTTCACAAATCTGATGAAATGAAATATATATTAGCAAATTACAGACACGCTGATTTTGTATCAAATGTGGTTGATTTCCCTCGTGTCAGTGTCACATAGAGTAAAATATTTTCATTTAGTTGGTAACAGTTTCCCGGACGGTAAATATCATAGAGATCTTGAAGTACGTTTTCGTAGTTTTTGATCAAACTTTCTTTATACCATCGATTTCAGTATGCTGATAGTGTCTTTGTGTTGTTATTTATACACTATGAAAAAACTGAAGATTCTTCAAAACATAGTCAGATGATCTCCCAGAGGTAGATGCACTTATATTTTTTCCAAATGACCCATTTTTATAACTGTGAAAATGTCCGTATGAACTTAGGAGAGATACGTCAGTTTTCATGAAGAAGTGAACACAAACTCATTTCTCTTAAACATCAACTCACATTCTTCATTGAATAATTTCTTGAATTGATAGAACATAGCGAGAGGTCATAGAAAGCTTATAATATTGAATATCGTTGTACCCAAAATGAAGGCATCACAAAATGTCCGTTAGAGTTTTCCCTGAACTTCTGGTGTTTGCTACTCCATCTTCTATGTTTTTTTGTAAACCATCTGTAGTTCATAAAAAAAGATATTGCTTCGACTCATACGATTGTTTGGGCCATAATAAAAAATAATACTTCATTTAGCAATCATTAGATATATTCCGAAATTCTCAGTTATATCTGAATCAGGTGAATTGTGTAATATCATAAGTATATTGTCGATCAAAACGTGACTATAGAAAGTACAGGTTCATATTCGAAATTTCAAAGTTTGAAGTGGAGCAAATAAGAAGGTATCCTGTATAAAAATTATATGAACGTATTCTGAAAGGTGATTGAAATCTCCTTAGACAAAATTTGAACTGATTAACAATATTTATGTGAACAAAAAATATACAGCCAAAAATAGAATATGAAATTTTTTGTTTTCAGTTAGGATCGATTTAACGATTTTGTTCAGAATACCAGAAAATAATCAAATTCTCCTCATCTAAATGCCTCTTCCGACACTTACATTTTATAAAATCCCCATACCTAGCTAGACTCGAATTTGAATTACATTGTTTATGACTTACCAATAATATTGCTTTTGATTGGAGATACATTTCATCCTAACAAACAATTCGGATTCAGGAGAGACCACTCCACCAAGTTACAGGCTCTGAGACTGGTCGAAAATACCATTCAAGAACTAAACAATAACCGAAAAGTTCGGTTATTGCGCCTTCGACCGTGTTTGGCACGAAGGCCTTCTACACAAACTAGACGCGTTCGACCTGCCTCGGGGACTGATCCGGTGGATTGGGTCCATCATGAAAAACAGAACATTTCAGGTCAGAGTAGAGGGCTCCCTAACTGACAACAGAGAGATCCTCGCTGGGGTGCCACAGAGAGCTGTGCTCTCGTTATACTCGCTCTACACCAGCGACCTCCCGAGGTCCGAGCGTGTCAAGGTGTCTCTCTACGCCGATAACACGGCTCTCCCCTCATCTTCCGAGGGTGGGGAACTCGGGATCGTCAATATGCAACGTGCATTGGACGACCTCGAGCGCTGGTACCTCGAGTGGAAGATCCGAGTGAACCCAGAAAAAACCCAGGCGATAACCATGACAAGAACGATATCTTCTCCGGCTAGGAAAAAGAGGGTCTCTGGAAGGGAGATTAACTGGCAAGCGCGAGTATCTCGGCCTTCTAATAGACTGCAGGCTCACCTGGAAACCGCACATTATATCGACACAAATTTTTTTGTCCGAACGTGGGACATAACAGAAACAACGACAATTGTTGTTATCGTATGATTTATCATATTGGTGTCCTGCACAATATGCGGTCTTTTCAATTTCAATACTCAACTATTCAAAATTCGAATTCGAAAATTGAAATATCTTTCGATATCATACTCTCGTTTAGAATCGGTTTCAAATACAGTCCTTCTTCATTATTTGAAAACGAAAAAACTGATCCATGTTTAATATTTGGAGTATCGGTATAGTATAGGTCACCCATATTTAGGATAACGCAATCGAGAAACATGGAGAGTCAAGAGCTGTTGCGCTTGATATTTCTAAATCCTTTGACCGTGTGTGGCATGAGGGTTTACTGGCCAAATTCCGATGCTATGGCCTGTTGGATCATTTTTGTGAAGGACTCTCCAGCTTCCTGGTAGAACGTTACCTGCAAGTGGCCATCAATGGATATCTCTCGAATACTTTTACCATCAAGACTGGTGTTCCCCAGCGATCCATATTGTCTCCAACCCTCTTTCCATTGTATAGGTGTCAACGACTTTTCGAAAAAAAAATAATTTAATATACTGCTTTGCTGACGACAGCATACTTGTCACGTCATTCCATTTGTATTTCAGGACAGCGGGTGTGGATGCACATCTTCACCGGCAGCAGGAGGTTACCTATCTTAATGAGGAACCAGAGGTGATTTCGAATTGGGATGGAAGTAATCAGGTGCCATTTGAAGTCACGTAAACCCAGGCATTGATTTTTTCCAAAAAGGTAGATTTCTTCGAACCGAAAATAATATTGTCACGACAGACAATTCCGCTTTCTGCTTCGATAAGTTTGCTGAAGGTCAAAATGGACACAATATGTCTTGGTAGAACCATGTCGCTGGAATTGCAAAGGCTGCTTCTCAGAAACTTGGAATGCTGTTTCGAACTAGAAAACTGTACACACCACAGCAAGTTTTGATGTTTCATGAAGCTCAGATCAAACCTTCTTTGGAATATTGTTCTCATGTATGGAGCTCCGCCCCTAAGCATACCTTGAGACTGCTGGATTCTATCCAGAAAAGAGCCTTTCTTCTGATTGGAGACACGTACATATATTGCAACGTTGATAGTCTGGAACATCGAAGAAAGGTTGGAGATTTGTCTCTCTTCCATAGATACTTTCACGGGAGGTGTTCAAGTGACTTAGCATATTTGACTCCATCAAGAGCGGTACATATCAGAAACACGCGACATTCTGTTGCTGTGTTTCGAGGTTCAACTCAGTACAACTCAGTACAACTCGAACTTCACTGTTTAAGAACTATTTCATTTGGAAAACTACGTTTATCTGGAATAAACATCCTGAGAACGTTTCCCAAAATGAATTAAATCTCCAGCGATTCAAATCCAATGTGAATCGCTAATTTCGGACAGACACCGCTCTTAGAGCGCCTCAATGATTTTCCTGTAGTGCTTGTGTTTTGCCCTTGAAAAAAAGAACATGAGGTCATGAAAATTGAAGTCTAAGTTGATAGGTTGTTTCGAATAACACCCCCCATAATACGACTCGAGGAGTTAGATGAAGAGTAGTTTAGACCAAAATGATCTTTTGTGTCAAATTGCAAGCTTTCTCTATGAAATGTAGTATACTTTCGAGCACTCTGAAGAGTAAAATACCACAAAGAAAGGATACTGAGATTCGCAAATTCTATATTGGTATTTAACGCTTGAAATATGATGTGATATGAAACATGCATTATCCATTGATGCAAAATGTATAGTCTCCATGTAATGCGCGAAAGATAATGCTACTTCTATGAAATGTGTGAAATATGCACACTGTAGATATATAATTTTACTCGCACGCTATATACTGATTGTGTATATTTTGAGTTGTTATTCGTCGTTATGAACAACAGGCTATATTTCGTCATTGAGGTGTGCTATTCGTTTCTGCGCTAATAAGAATTGCATAACTATAATTATGGTGTTTTAGTGTCAATATCCGTTTTATTTCAAGCATATCCTCTATAATTTGGTTTTTCCGTATACATCTTATCATAACTCAAATACTGTGTGCCTCGTCAAAAATACTTGTACACCTCTGAAATTATTAGGGTTTACTAAAAATATTTCACTCAGAGTTATACTGAAATACTTTGATTGGGTATATTTTGAATACCTTTTTTGAANGTAACTTGGTTACGAAGACTTTTAGGAAGAAAGTTATATGAAGTACTGGTGATATTTTGACCCCATCTATACATTCCTGAGAGGAAAAGAGGAAGTCCAGGGACACCCTGTATATATATTTCAAATAAAGTTTGTGGAGATCAAATCGTGAGGTGTAGTTTATGAAATTACTATGGATCTTCATCAAGTAACGGTCGAATCAATCAGAAAAAAAACAAACTCTATTCTTTTATAATAATCATCCCCATGGAGCTCTTGGAGAATCTGCATTTTATAAAGATGAAATTTATGCATGTTCTATGTTTTCAATGCATTTCTTACAGTCTCGCGTGACATTCTCGTTTATTCTGACACTGATCGTGAGGCACTCGTGGGCTCTGCAGCAAATGTTCCCAAAACTTCAATTTGAGCTGTTTCATTTAGTACTTTGGGGTTATTTGTTTTTTTATTAATCACTGAACCAGTTTCACCAAG